AATGACAAAACATGAATCGAGGAACCGAGAAAACGAGTCTTCCTCCGTAAATTACGGAGCAAAACCTACACTTTGACTTGAAAAAGCGAAAATCATAAGATGAATGCGAGAAAATACTTCAGCGAACGAACGAAAAAGAAAACAACTCGGAAAAGTTTTCGTGTTAAATTTATTATCTGTTTTACGGTGTGCGTCTCGGTGTAGCTGAGTCAAAATAGGCAAAACGATTTGATGGCGCACAATGGAGTGTGTTTTGTGCAAAATTGTATGTAGACGAAGCACGATTTTTCGGCAAGTTATGCGCTAAAATAAACAGCATTTTATCATTGCCCGGGAAGAAAAAAAGTACCAAACATTTCGCCGCATTCTAACAATGCCATTCGCATTCGTATTCGCATTTAACTCTCTTAAAAGTACTGCCAATACAAATGCCGAAAATCCAATGGCATAATACAAAGCGGTCTATTCTCTTGTACACACACACATGCTCGCTCACTTTTTCCCTCTCGATGTGTCTGTCTGTGTAATTGTGTGCGTGCTGTGTGAGGTGGCTAGCAAAAATACAGCGATTGTGATGTGTTTTGTAAAAGTACATTTGTGTTTGAGGGTGTTTCCAAGACGACGCACACACAGCGTTCAATATTCCCATACAACAGATGCGATATTTTCGCTTGTTTATACGAGTTTTGTGTGCCGGTGTTTGGTCTATGCTTCAATTTTTTTTCGGAATTTGTGTGCGTATGCGACGCGAGAGGCGCAGTAGGAACGGTGTGATGTGTATATGAGTGTGTCTATCACACGAATTCCCCATGAAATTTAATCAGAGACGAAAAATATTTATCGTTCAGCACGACCAGAGAGAGAGAGAGACAGCGAGAGAAGAAGAGAAAAAAAAGAGAGTAACTTGGTGTTTTCTTGATATTTTTCATTTTCGTAATTTGAATATTTTTGGCATTTTTATTTTGTTTTGTTTCTCGGTATCTGCCAAAACAAAACACGGCATGTCTATTTGCATATCGTTTTCGTTCGAGCGAGTTGTTTGCGCTTATTCAAATCAGATGAAATGTAAAAACAGCAGCAAAGCGATCAAAGGAAAACAAACGAATTTCACAGCACGACGGCATGGAATGTCGGTTCAATATATCCTCGAAATAAAAAACGTAGAAAATAGAAGCAGACATTGCTTTTTCTATTTTTTGGCCGCGTTTGGCAAAATCGATCAGAGCTTCATTCGAAAATTCCATTCGTTACATTGAAAATGTATCATAGCCAGGTTTTCGTCTGTTTTTTTTTTCAAAAATTGTTTTCTCTCTACAATCCTGGAAATTATGATGTTATTTACCAAAAATCATTTTCCGAAACGTGAACGTGCATAAAGTGAACGAGAACGTGCACGGAATGAATGAAATGATGTCCGACTCGAGAAAATCGAAAATTGTTGAGGTTCACATTACCATACGAAAAACCTAAACAATCAATATTGATGCATATTGATTCGAGTGCAAACTACTTTAGGCCGTTTATGTTCTGGGTGTGTGGCCGCATCATCTATTTATCTGCTATTTGTTATGAAACCCATTGAGTATTTTCAAAAACTGTTATGTGTTCCGTGCGGATTGTGGCCAGGCTAGAGAGCCGACGAAAAACCACCCATTGAAATGAAAGGATTCTTTATTCAATGATGATAACCTATTCTTACAATCATGCGGCTCTTTATTCATAACTTTTTTTTTCAACCGCTATTTTCCCATCGATGACGACGATAACAACTTTTTCCATTTTCGCATTTGTTTGAAAATGATAAGTGGAAAAATGTCGTTTGCAGACGATGTCTCGTGTGCCCAAAGTGAGCGTGTGGCGTGTTCTCTCTTGTTCTGTTGTTGTATTTTTGCGTAGGGATGTGTGAGTAGTTTGTATTAAAATCAACAGCCAACAGCAAACAATGCCATGTTTAGCACGCAATCAACGAGCATCAAAGCGATATGAGCGCACCATGTACGAGCCGCATTGTGTTTCTGTGTTAAGTTCTGTTGGCATCGTTATTCACAACGGTACACAGCTAACAGAATAAAAACGTATCTCCTGCGAATAAAGTTACGGTTGAATTTCGCACTCGGAAATATGTCTCATTTTCCGAGCTCTCCATCGCTTGCGCTCTCTCAACATCTTCGGCAAACAAATTAAGAATTCCATTGTTTGCCGTTGTTCTTATGTCAAATAATAGCGAAAGGCATAAGACAGACTGAAGCGCATATGGAAATGAAAAGAAGAAACAGAAGAAAAAATTGCTGAGGCTGGCTTGAGCCAGGGATTTAAAACGGAATAGAGGTCGAGATTTCATAGAAACGTTGATTTGTTTGCATGTACTTGTTTTGATCGGAGACAAGTACGCGCGCGTTTTGCAAAAAAAGAAACACATCGATAAAACGAAATTACGCGATGAATTTTACACGAAGTAAACAATCAAAGTCAATGTTGTATTGATCGGGTCATTGAAATCAAAGGCATTTTCCCATTGAATGTTGCATCGCTGCGTTCTATTTTCGTTTCACTTTCTTCATTCATTCGTTCTTTGTTGTCGCAACCATAATAAAAACGAAATTGAAGAAAATCCCTCGTGAATACGTACATGCAATAACGTCCTGCAAGCAATTATATTGTATGTGCCTGTGTCTAGCTACCACCACAAACAGATTGATATTTAAAAGCGTGCTGGATTGTTGTTCGTGATTGACTTTATGGCCATTTCATTTTGTTCAGGGGATTCACTTCATTTCTCTCTTCCAGAAATTGCTTTCCAACTTGAAAAGACGAATGATGAAAATGAAACCATTGCCAATGAAAAATCGAATCAATAAATTTGATTTAGTGGATTTTGTTAATACCAACAGAGAGTTCAGTTCAAGTTATAATCATTTGTCGATGCTTTGTTTTCTCCAAAAAAAGGTTTTCAACCAACGATTGCCTTTCTTCTTCGTCCAGCTTTTATATTCCCATTCAATTATGAATGGCATCTGTTTCCAAATGTACGTTATAACATTTCGAAAAGCGGAAAAGAAATCCAAGCCTCTATTATAGGCTGCCTATTCGAATCGTATTTGAATCATATATACGTATACGTTGGATTTATGGATACCAATTTTCCAGTTCAATTGATATAAGTTCTCGTTCAGTGTGCGTGAATAAATCGTTCATGATGGTATTACATCTCTCGGAATGTGATTTCGATGTCTTTCGAACTCACACAAACACACAAAAGAGTTTAACCAATACCTTTTGATTTTTAGTGTGGCGTGTTCACATGGAACCAAAAAAAAAACGTTTCATTTTGGCCGTATAGGAATATATCGTTTTTCATGCGATCGAAAGGTCATTCTCATTTCCATCGATTTGAAAACAGGAGAAAGAGCATGAATAAAAGGAAACCATTTCCATCAAGCTCGGTAATTAATTAAGAAGGATTTGCGGTCAATGTAACAAAAAATCCCTTCAAAAGAGAGAGATCACTGAAAACTTTGTGTCAGTTCAACTTATATCATTCATTTTATACGACTGCCGGGCTATGTAAAGAACCCCAGTTATCGTTACAAATTTTAAGCAAGTCGACTCATGTTGAATCCAACTAATTTTAAACTCTGCAAGCCAATCCCAATTAAACTTTGTAAATTTCTTCGGGTGAACACCATGTCTACCATGCAAATTAGTAAGTTTGAACCGCAAAAACCGAAATGATTTGACATATCACGACGACATTATCATTCGATGTGCTTTTTACTACATATCAATTTGGCTTAATGATTCTTTTATTGTATACGGCATTTATGTGTATTTATGTCGCTAATGACATTTTGATGAAACGATGGAACTTCCATTTATGAATGGGAACAAGAACTACTGCTTTGCTGCGCGCTGATGACTCGACACGAATCACTAACGTCTGCATTAAAAGGTTGGAACTGCGTGGCTAAGCTCAATTTAACTATTAATCATAGTTCACAATTATTCGAATCGGAATGAAGTTAAAAATTCATATTTCATATTGATTTTTTTTTTGGCCCATTGTGTATGTGTATATGTGTCGCAACTCTGGTTCATTCATTTCCACATTGATACCATAATAGACGGAAATGGTTTTTATTTTTTAAATGTTTTCACTGTTCCATTCCAGTTCCCATTTTCATATGGATGTTTTAAACTTAAGTGAAAAATTCAATTATAAACATATTTCATTCTCGGAGTCCGACTCACAAAAACTTAATCCAATTAACTTTCCACACGAGCCCAATAGATAGTATGTGTGCATTTCAATTTTATCCGTGTGCCAGATGGCTTTGTTTGCACAAATATGGATGTATATGGCAGATAGTGAGAGTGTGGTGCGGTGTGGCCGAGTCCATTGAATAAAAATTGGTTTGGTTGTTCATTCTGTGGTGACACATCCATTTCAAATATTTCTCTTGATATGAATCGAATTATTGACACTCTCGCTTGCTCGCACGCTGCTCTATGCTGCCTTAAATGACGACTCAATCATATAAAAATCGATGTCATGTTTGAATATTTGAGAATAAATTATTGACAACATTTTCATCGTTTTGTTAATACAGAAAGGAAGAGAGAGAGAGAGAGAGAGCGATAACAGCACGCGACTGATAGGAAATTAAACTGTTGTTCGATGGAATGTTTTCAACATTTGATACGTGTTCACGTTTTTTTTCCTCTTCCAAAGTAATTCAGTTCTGGTTTTAGAATTATTTCATAACGGTTTATGCACATGTTTTATTCGATTATGTTCACTTTTCGACCGGCTAAAATTTGTATGTTGATTCAATAGGTTCATGTTTTGCTAATGGCATATAATCAGTGTTCAGTGTTCAGTAGAATGTGAAGTATCATCGTTTTACTAGCTGAAACCGCTCTCGAATAACCTATTTCTAATTAAGTAAATTGATCGCTCTCGAAATCTAATTGATTCTATTTCTATAAATGGTTTATTTCAGATTTTGCCAGATCAAGGCTTTTCATTATGCAGGTATTACGACACGTGAACACATGGTAACCAGAAAGAGAAAAAAACAGACCGCTCATTATTATTGATTGCAACCGAACCATCAAATTTTGAAAAGGGAATTTCGAAAGGTCTGGATATTCTTTTTTTCTTCAGAAGAATAAAAGCGAAAACAACGAGCGAAACAAACCCAAATGAGACGTACGCTCAAGTGATTTTGAATAAGAAGCAGACGGAAACATTGAATATTCATCAACATGTCGATCACCGGCTCATTGGTTGGCTACGAAAACAACGATGATTTATGTAATAAGAAAAATCGGTCGCTGCTCAATGTATCGGCATCATCAAAGCAATGCACAAGCCTCAACTCGAGTATTAATAACAGCGTGATTATGCCGGATAGTAATGCCGTTAAGTAAGTACCGAAAACTTTATTTCGTTTAATTGAATTGTCGACAGAAAATAAATACAGACGCACACGCATACAGTGTTCATGGACGCCGAAATTTTCGTCACGTCAAATTTTCTCGAACGGATTATGTCTTGATGAGTTTATAACTTGATTTGATAATTTGGCTGAAGCGCGAACAATTGATCCTTCTGTTCATCTGGCCATGCGACAGAGAGAGAGAGAGAGAGAGAGAGAGAGAACGAAATTATTAACGAGGAAGGCGTTGGCAGATGTCGTTGAAAGTGTCGTTTTTGGCTGGTGAAAAAATGAAATTCCAAGCGAGTGTTTCATTGTTATCAATGACTTTGAAGACATTCATTAAGCATGAAAATGAGGCATAAAACGCAAAGTTGTCGCGAACGTGACATGGTTCGCAAAATAAATGGTCTTTGTAAAATCGATTTTGTCTCGGTCGGTGTTTTTGTCGTGATTTTTGTGTTTGCATTTTATTATTAATTTATTTGAATTTGTCGGGAGTTTGTGTGAAAAAGTTGTTGTGTTTGTTGCGATGTTTCCGAATACAAATATCACCCACCGACAATAAAACGAATCATTCCACAATGCTGGCAACACACAAAAGCTGAAAAGTCATCTAAAGTGCTTCGTTCGTTCGTTCGTTCGAAAGTTGGTGGCGAAACAATGGAATCAGCCTCCGTTACAAGTGGATCCTAAGCAAACGAGACGAACATTCAATTTTCCAACACCCAGACCACGTCTGAAACTCTATACATAATACTATTTTAATGTGTTTTACGGTTTTCCCTTATCACCCTCATCACATCGCTTGTGCTGCTACTGTTCAACATTTTTTCAACAGCACGTCAAAGTCGAATCATCACAATTGCAACAATGAGTCCGAGCAGACGAAAGCAAATCGAAAGCATCGCTACCACTTGAATTCACTGTGGTCGATCTGGTATGGTATTCTATTCACATACTTCCAAGGCTACTTAATACTCAATGGCGCTTATAGATTTTTAGGTAAGATTCAACGAAACATTTCAATGAATTTGCATTTTTTGGCATTTAATCGCCTATTGAAAACAAAAAGCACTTACACGCCAATACGGAAAGTTTTTGGCATTATCTTAAAGTCAAAAGGAACGAGAAGAAGTCGAAAGAAAAGTGTATGCACACCAAGAACTTTACGTTTGTTAATGAATTCTTACTTTTTTCTATTTCTATCCTAAATTCGTTTGCTATTTTGCATTAATGAATGGTTCTGCTTCACAACATTAATGGGATTCGAAACAAAAGGCTGTTATTTAATACAATGGCATAACGATTCAGCCGCATTGACGGAGCTGAATTCACAAATAATCCTGTGCGGATTGGCGCTGTTGATGTTACCCTTATTTTTCATATCGGCAATATTCAAGGTAAGATTTCCGTGTCTGGCTTTCCGGACCAGCTTTATTTTTGTATACATATACAATATAAACACCTTAGTGCTTTCGGCACAGAAAAATCGCGCTACATCCAAAGTCATACCAAAATCAGCGAAATCACGCGAAGAACTTTTCCAAGATTAAATGTAATATCTCTGTGGATTTTCCCTATTATAATATTTATCTCGTCTAAATGAGTTCGTTTATTTTGGTATGCGCTTTACCGGCCGCTTTGGGAGGATTTCCTTTTTTCACGTTGTTTTTTTTCCTTCATCTTTATACACATCTTCTGGTTACCGTGAAATAGGTCGGAAATTTAGCGAACGACGGCATAAAATTAGCGTCAAAGACGGGAACATGCTCAGCCGAACCCGACGATGGCTTGGAACATGAAGCAAAAGGCGGAACATTACGGTATGTACTATAATAATCATTTATTATCAAAATTCGTTCGAAATCTCCGACCATTCATTTTTATGCATCGAAAGTTGTAGTCCTATGCAGACTGAGAAAAAAAAATGAAAGAAAAAACCGCTCACAAACATTACATTTTAATGATTATCTTTAATGTGTTCCGTTTGTATTCGTAACCAAAAGTTGAATCGAATTTTCCCAAAAGGAAGAACAATTTTCCATGTTGAATAAATACGAATTTCCGAAAACTTATTCCATTTTCAGAGCTCTGATGACACATGGTGGCCCGACCTCAGCATTTATCCACATTGTTATTGCGTTATGTTTACTAATTCCTCGGCTTTTGATCGAATCGAAGTTGATTGAAAATGGAAATCTACCCCGAGGTAAGTAAATACATTGGTGGAAGAATGGCAAAACAAACAGAATGTAAACCCATCCAAATGTGATATATCCAAAACCAAAATACCAGAATACACAAACATTACCAACATTTTAATTACGATGCCATTAATCGGTCGAATATTCCAAAGTGTGTATGTGCTTGTGTGTTTTGGAATTTAATTCCACACATATATAAATGTAGCATTCACTCGACTCGAATCGGCTTAAAATGTCTATGTCATTTAAGTGTTCGAAATTAATGCATGTGTATCCAAAATGAAAGTGGAATTTGAATTGAAAATATTTTGTCTCTTTGTTTTGATATTTTGTAGAAAGCATCTGGCACACTGAATTGGATTTTCTGGTGCCGCATCGAGATCGATTGGTCATATTGTCATTTACAACATCGCCATATCAAAATAATTCGGTTCACGAGGACAATTTCATTAAACATTACCATAATCAACGGCCTACGTTCATTGACGAAGAAGACGATGAACTGGCTCACACTCATTTGATTGAAAAATTTCATTCAGACTCATTTGATGAAAACGATTACTTTGATACACATGAAAAACTGGAGAATGAGAGAACAACATCGTCGATTACAATACCGCCACCACCACCACCACCATCTACAGCATCGCACAGTGGCAGCTCTGACATAGGAAAAACAGTCACAACAACGACACCCAGCAACATTTTGACAAACATCGAAACGAATGAAAAACGAATGTATAGAGGAAATGTTGGCATTCCGATGACTGGTAATAACCGAAAGCAACACGCACGAATGAGAAATCGCAACAATGGAACGACCGGCAGCGGACGTGGTACGAATAGAAAACATTCGAATGCAAATCGAGATCGGGCTAATGACAATGTAAATGCTGCGATGCGAAAGGAAAAAAATATGCGCCGTGGAGACGATTTACGTGAAAACTTTGAAACGAAAGTGAACAATAAGCTGGAATTAGATAAGAACAACGATGAATTTGGTGAAAAAAGTGTGCAGACCGTTGGTGGTGTGGGCACAAAGCTTCAACAAAGAAAGTATGTTACAAAAATCGATCCCACTGACGAATTACCACCGGACACTGAACACGAATTGCATGGTAATCGAAAATCATCAATTGCCCGTGACAGTAATATCCACATCGTAAAACCAGCTGAAGGCACGTTCGTTCCGTCGACACCATTTTCAACGGATTCGAAAATTATCGAAATCAAACCGTCAACAATGCGGGCGAGCAAACGTTTTAAACGTTCAAGTGAAACAATTGACACCCGTATGCAAATTGAATCCGATCGAATCGAAGATGAATTCGGCGAATTCACCGATGCCGATGTACCAAGAGAGCCAAGAATCTACGTTAATTTCGAGAATAGTGAACAATATACGGAAAATGATGATGATGGTGATAATTTGTTGAAACCGGCGCCAGACGCTGCTGCATTGATTGACACCGCCGTTCCGGCAAATGTAACACCGATAACGGCAACGTCGACGACCAAACAATTGCACGGTTTTGCCGCCTGTTTACAACATTATTTAAATGTCAACAAAGAAATCGGTAGGAAAATCATGTGTAACATAGAACACAAAATATCAATCATATTTTCTAAAATATGGTTTATTCGTTGTGTTCAGTGTTTTGTTGTTTTGTTTTTCGTCCTCTTTGAAACGGAAACGCACATTGAGTGCAATATTCCATGCGTTCAACGATGATGACGATGACGACACGACGATGAAATATTCATCCATTTTTTTGCTTTCATTTATAGATACGAAAAGTTGGATGGCAATGTTGCCGAGTTTTGAGTTCATGAATTTTGTAGTCGCATTGATTGTATGGTCGTCACGATATCCAAGCGTCTACTGGAACACATCGAAAGCATTCTCATTGATATTCAGCATTCAGATGATTGCCAACGCAATTGATTTGCTTTTAGTATTTGCCGGCGTGTCGGTCATTTATAAATTACAAGTCGTTGGACAAAAACTTCCGTTACAAGTGAGTATGTGTGTGTGTGTGTGTGTGTGTGTGTGTGTGTGATTCCATGTAAATTTCCATAAATTTTACTCTCTATATAGACTTCGTTCGGTATTATTTAATATTTATCTACATTTGAAATTTATATTCGTCTACATGTTGTTTTTGTTTTGTTATTTTTTAAATGGAAACAGACGCCACCGTTGCTGCTTAATGGGACTGTTTCGTTGCTGCTGTACATTCTATCAATTATGCTCATAATATCATCATCACTGATTCTATATTTGTACGGACATGGACGTTTGTCGTCTCGTGTGCGTGATCGTCGCATGATTTCAACTAAATCTGGTGACAACTGGGCTTATTTTGCACATTGTGCATCCTTATGCTTTATTTTAGCATTGGCCGTTGTCAAAGCTCCTCTGATGCATGACTTTAGTGCAATCTACAAGGGTAGTTTGGACGGTGCCGTTTTACTAGCAGGTAAATGAATTACACTGTATACCATTTTAATTGAAGAAATTTGTCGGGAATTGTTTACATATAGAAAATTAGCTTAAATACAGGGGTCATTCCTGTTACTATTTATAAAATTATGTTCAATTCATTTTTTTTCTTTCAATGCTGTTACTTCAATTCACATTTCGTAATAGTTAACGTTAAAGTTTCACCATGCATTTAGTCAAGTTCATTAAATATCAACAAAACTGAATTGTCTCTCATTAGCACTGTCATCCGTGATGCATATATTCTTCTGGATTCTGCTGTGGCTCGGATTAACTGCGAAGCGTCGATGGAATTTCAAGTTACCGCCATTGGATGACATTCATTTGCATAATGAGCCAGCCAAACAGCCGTTACTCATGTCACCACGGTTGAGTCGACAACACAGCACTGGACCAGCGGGCGGTCAATTAAACGATAGTTCCGACGAGCAGATTTATTGGCCCAAGTTACAGCCAAACTCTCCAAAATTGAAAGTAACATTTAACGATGTACCAAGTACGTTATCCGATAACAATTTGGCTGACGAACAAGATGGCAAGCGGTAAACAAAGAGAACTAACAACATTTAATCGAATGAAAAGTGAACATATACACGGGCGCGCGCGCACGCACAAAATCCACCACAACGATTCGAATCCCTGTTCGATTGCAAAATGTGCCTGTGCATTGTTTCACTTGTGACTCATATACGTACTGCACGTTGTGTGTGTGTGATGAATACAGTTTTTAGCTTCTAGTGATTTGCACTTCAATAGATGGATTTTGTGCCACATTTTGGTTTTTGTTTTCACATTGGGTGTGTGTGTGCGTATGTGTGTGCACAGATCTCGATCAAACACTCATTTCGAATTATAATTTTTTTAATGGTTTCCATTTTGGAAAATGAGCTTTTTTCATTCTCATTTGTTTTTCCCTCTAGTGTTTTGTTTTCATTCATTTTTTGTATTCTTTTAATACGTACTAAAATTGTCGTTGTACTGCACTAGAATGGAATTGAGAGCGTATTATCTGCACTGTAAACCAACGCTCGACAGATTGCACGTATTCTTTCTTTTGTTTGCGTTTTTCATTTGAATTATTTATACCTACATATATATGTTGTGCATCTCTTTTGTTTTGTTTTTAATCTGTTTGCCTTTTTGTGTTGAAGTAGCTAGAGCATGTTGACCTATTTCATTGACTAATCTATAATATATACAATACTATTGTGTGTCTTCGTTTTCTTTGTATGTGCTGCTTCTGCTGCTGCTTGTTGTTGTTCAATGATTAGCGATTCGAGCCGTAGAGCCTCGGTATGTATGCCCGGTTCTGCGCGGGAAATTGATGAAGGAGAGTATGCTACACTAAGAGGAACAACAGATGAGGATCTCATGCATTTTAATATCATTTCGAAGCGAATCAGTATGGCAAATTGTGATACAGCCGACGATACATCCGAAGAGGGCAAACTATTGGATTGTGTACGCGACGATAGTGTGACATATGCATCGACTCGCGATTTAGAACCGCCGATGCCGCCTCCACCGCCACCACTCACAGATGACGAAGATTGCGATGCATATGGTGACTCAACCGAAACGCTTGTCAATCCCATTGCACAAGTCACAGTGCATACAAATGAAGCTCATGTGAGTGAATGTCTTTGTTTTCTCAAGCATTATGTTTGAATTTGAATATATTTATTCGGAATTCAGTTGAAAGTTGAATGAATATTTATGTTCGTTGCAAAATCTAAATGTGAGATTCAATTCAATTGTATTGATTTTACAGATTATCTCACAACAAACGCGAAGCATTCGTCGTGGTGATTCTGGAATGGCTCACGACATATTAACTCCATGCACTGACAGTATGTCAACCGAATGTTCAACATCGCCTCCTGAACGCGCTGCATCCGATTCGTCATCAAGTGGTATACATTCGGGCGAAGAGGAAGTCGTTATTCGGTCACGACCAGCCAAAGTGGTAAAACTACCGCAGCCAGCCATTCAAGAAGAACCCTTTGGCCGACAAACTAATATGTATTTGTCGAGTTTCATACAAGACAATTCCAGCGCTACGTTACCAATGCATCGTGTTCAATCGGCGGAGCCATTCTATGATTTTGCCAACCACTGCAACACTATGCCTCTACCAATAACAAATCATCTACAGCAACAACAGCGCATACCACAATTCATTACGCCAAGCTCATCAAAGCCACAGCTGCACACAACGCTACCGAACGGTGTCCGCTATGCCAATCCAACGAATTTCATTCGACGAGTTCCGTTACACGTTCAAACTGCCGAATCTCCATATGGTACACTGGGCCTTGGTGCTGGCCATCACACATTTTCGAAGCTATTGCATGAACCGTTGGTGTTCGGAAGCATCCCAGAAGATCGAGATTCAGCCAACTACTCAATGATATCCGATCAAGAGCGTGAAATCTATGCCAATGCACTCACAGCCGGTAACATTCATTGATTGATGTGCAAGACTCACGAAAATATTCGCACGAAATTTGATAACACATAAAATATATGCGTGAAAACCTTGAAGAAATGAAAAAAGCAAACAAATACTCAACATGACCGAAATCATCATCTGATTTTTGTTCGTTGCAAACCTGTACATTTTTTTTTCTTTCTGTTACGTCTTTAATTTTATTTATAGCAAAAAAACACAAACAACAAATTGTTTCATACCACGTTTTGTACATATTCTTATTTTCTACTTTGTAGTTTACGCAGTTTTCGTTCCTTCCTATGATTCTGTTTTGACTTAGGAACTAATTTAAGTGATTTGATTGAACAAGCAACAGTTGATGTTTGAAGAAGAAGAAAAAAAAACACTCTGCCAGAGGGAATATTATAGATAGTCAATGTAGCCGAACAGCATGAATGGAATATAGCAATGGCATTAATTCAATTCAAATTTTCCTTTTTTTATTTCTATTGGGTAACAACGTTGCGCTTTTTCTCGATTAATTTCAAGCAAAGAAGAAACCATTTATAAAAGAGCTTTAAAACAATAAAATAATTCAAGCTTTTCGCAAATCGATCTCAAAAGTATATGCCAGTCCAGCAGATAGCAGAAAATCCCTCTAGATTTTGTAGCAATATTTAGAACGTATATAATCAAATTGAACGAAAGTTTCGTTACGAAACGCTTAATTTCGATTCGATTGATATATGTATTCGAGTTATATATGAAAGTAAAAAGTGAAAAAACACAAATGAAGAAAGAAAAACCATACTCAGGCTCTAAACAAAACTACTCAATGAAAGTATTTTGGAGGATGTAGTTTGTAGACGTATACAAAATATTTATTCAGAATTCAGAGCCTTTCATCTCGGTTTCGTGTTTTGACACGCTACATTTGATTTTCGTCGGGTTTACATATTAAAAATTCTTATCACACTCGATTTAGTCGGATTTTGAGTAATTTGGCATTTAATTCACGGTTTAATTATCTATCAGATATTGACCATAGCATAAATTCGAGCAGTTTTGAAGAAAAAAGGTTTAAAACTTTCGTTCATTTGTTGATTTGTTTCCCTCGAATACGACATTCAATATTATAAAACGATGAGCCTATCTTAACAACTCTATGCTAATAACTATAACACTTGAATATTTTGTATGAATGTAACCAGTGAAAATATTTCGACACTAGCCAAATATAATCTATGCTCGCCAACAACTAAGCTTTCATATGAAAACAAGCCGATCCGCATTATTCAAACGTTCAAATCGATTGGCGAGACGGAGAGTTGACCATTGTCTTTGGTAAATTTGGTTAATTCAGACAGCTATAAATAGCCGAAATAACGTATGACAGCATATTTTGTTCACCTCTATTTATGGATGGCATATATATGCAAACGCTTTTTACCATTTGCCATCCGATATTGAAAAGAGATGCTTCTCTACGTCTTACCTATTGAAATATATACTCATCATTGATAGACATATATATTCATATACTCGAAATTATAGCTGGCCATATTTTTTGAACCCCACCATAAATCATATATAGACAAAACACGCTTGAGCTTCATCTACTCGTAAGACATAATAAAATCATATCATCTTAACCCCCTTACAAATAACAAACGATCCTCAATCGAAATCAACTGCCAAAATCACATTGCACTTCATTTTCAACTACACACCCACACATCATGACCTACAATCATCAAGTAAACAAACAACCAAACAAAACAACTAATATTCAAAAACCATTTGAACTGAACTGATGCTCATCTATCGAATTATCGTTTGGCCTATGACCTTATATTTCGCGATAATGATATCGTATTTAACAATAATAATAAATATTTTGAAAAAAAAGACCGCCGATTGCAATGTACAACATGACAATATTTTTTAAAATAAAAACTCCAAATGATAAAAAGAACATGTTTACAGCCGCTAGTATTCCGAAGAAATAGATATTGATATACAAACGAATCCAATTTTTGTCAGGCTTTTGTAAAGAGATTTTTTTTACCATGGAAATTTCATACACAATAACAAAAATCAATGTAGATTTTTACATATCACAATGCTTCATTCACATCGCATCATTTGCACCTGGGCACTTATCAAGAAGTGTTTGTTATACGAATTGCGCATTTACAGCTTTGACAAATATGATAAAAAGAAGAAGAAAAAAAGAACAAAAATATTTACCCAAGTCAGTTAACAGAAGATCATTCATGATAATTGTATAGCCAATGTTATATTACCTTTATGCATACCATAAAAATGGGTCCATTTCCATATACACACGTATCACGCCGCGTAGTAGGATAGCCACAGAAAATGCTCCGAATAAATGTTGTTCTTCCTACCGATTAGATTCATCCAGTCCCTAGCAAAACGAAACATTACATACGAACAGCAAGACTGATTTTAAACAACTGTAATTTAGTTTCAACACCTTAATACAACCCACGTTTCAATCCATTCACCATCGCAAAAATGCCCTTAATCGCTTATATCATTCATCGTAACCGATCAATCAAATACATTCGAATCGCAAATAAAAACCACCACAAGCATATCCATTATTGCACGAAAGCCAAATTGAGCACCGTCAATGGGGTTTCCGCATATCATAAATTGAAAAAAAAAAATCACGTTGAAAAAAAAATGATTAAGAAAATTCTATCGAAAAAAACTTTTTTATCAAAATTTATACCTACATTCTACATGAAATTTGTTTACTGTCACACCACAAACAGCGAACAAATCATTCGACATTAATTGGTGAAATGATGACATATTATGCTCTAATAATACCAAAAATGTTCACAACATCTTTGTACAATGATTATTATTATACTATTAGCAAAACAAGATGAACGGAAGATACGGAGATACTGATAATAAATTTAAACTTAAACTGAAACAAACACTCAATGGTTTATTAGATGTTAAGTATAATAAACTGCAATAAATCATTGCTTAATGTGGAAATAAGCTAGTGCCGTTTCATTTCACTCCAACTCCAACAGCATCTTCGCATCTTGATTCAAGCATAAATTTAAATAGCGCTCTTCGGTTGTTGTGACTGTAAGTATTTTCACATCGAGTCCATAGATGGCGCTTGGGTATGGAAGAAACCCACATATGACATTTAAAAGCAACGACAACACTCTTACGTCAAATTCATTTTCTAATGCAAAATAAATAACAAAACATTCGTTCAATAAAGAAGAGGCGAAAGTGAACACGAATCCAAATATTTGTTCTTCATCTGATTTTGCGAGGAACGTGTTAATTTTGTGTTGTTGAGTATTGCTTTGTTAAATCTTGTGGTAAAATGTCATCATGGTTTAGTGATTTGGCCGGAAAAGCAGAGAATATTCTCAATAAAATTGACCAAAATGCGGCCAGTGTGTTGAAAAATGATACCAATGACCGTGATCAATTGATTGAAGTGAAAACGGGCGATGACGTTGTCGATAATGGAAATCATGAAAAGAAAATTAAAATGGCCAATGGTTCACCGGCCATACGAAGCATTACGTCCAACGCATTGAAACTACCGAAAACGCCAAAGAAAACTCTGTACACGCCAATCGAACGACAACCAGCAGATATTGAAGAAGTATCGATTAAATATGAATCAAAATTGAATAATATTGTGAACGGTGATGATGGAGCAAAATTGAATTTACCGTCAAATGCATCGAATTCATCACGTCGCAGTTCGTGCAGTTCACGTACGGAAGGAATTCAAACCGTTATCGAATACCCAATCGCAAAACATTCCACTGATACATTGAACGTGAACGGTGGCGATCCAATGCAAACATCCACAGGTTCATTGCACAGTTCAGTTGAAGATAAGAACGAGATGATGGCGTCCAGAATTATTGTGACCCAAATGAAAACTGAACGTGATCAAATGAAAACGGAAATTGCTGATTTGAAAAATCAATTGGTTATGGCAAAGAAGGAAGATTTGGTATCGGAAATAACTGCCACGCGTGACCTATTGGCCACAGACAAAGAAAGTCTACAACGAAAACTTGATGAACTCGAAGAAGCAAACAATGGATATGTCAAGACGATTTCCCAACTCGAAGTAAGCGTTGCCAAAATGCATGAAGCAACTATGGACCTGAACGAGAAGCTGACACTGGCCAAAACTGAAACAGAACAAGCGGTGTTTGAGTTACAACAATATCGATCGAGAGCCCAACACACATTACAAATGAAAGATGAATTAATCGCCGAACTGAAATCGTTTCACGCAAAAGGTGAAACGACTGACGACACTGATATCGATGCACAATGCAAACAAATCGAATTGGCCACAATGAAACAAGAACGCGACACATTTTTCGAAGAAAACAATATGCTACGCAATCAATTAAATGCAAATAAACAAATTATACACTCACTCGAGAGCAAAATCCATGAGATCGAAATGCGATCCAGTGAGAGTGAAAAGTCATTATCGAATGCATTGAAACAGGAAAAATTGAAATCAAGTCAATTGGAGGAGACGATGAGAACACAGGCTAAGGAGTTGAAAGTGGTTCGTGATGAACTGAAGCGACAACAGACAATAACATCGACTAAACTACATGAGAAGTATGACAACCGCATTAAATTAATTCAGCTTTTTATGATTTTTTTTTTCTTCTTCCACAGAGAAAATGAACTGACAAGGCTTCGAACAAAATTATCTCAACAACAAAACACACCGACCATTCCGACCGGAATTCAGACCGGAGCAAATACTACTGATGATCGAATTTATTCCCTAACACAATCGCTTGTGCAAAAACAAAATTCCCTCGAAGCAATTACAGCTGAACGAAACGCCATTCGATTTCAGCTGGAAAAATTGGAAAATCAACATCGTGAAACAATGACACTGCTGAGACATCAACGCTTGCCGCAGATCATCAATGTAAACGATACGGATGATGCAAAATCACAGGTGCCGAATTTCATGCGAGAAAATCCATTCGATACCCGCGTTGCACGACGCATGAAACGGGCCTATTCGTCTTTGGATGCGGCCGGTGTACGATTGGGTGTATTTTTACGTCGTTATCCATTGGTACGCACGATGACTATTGTTTATGTGGCTGTTTTACATTTATGGGTGATGTTCGTTTTGCTGAGCTCCACACCCAATCAAACGAATTAGAACGAATTTTTTTTTATTTACATTTTTAAATTTAAAATGCAGATATTAATACTATTCCTTCCTATATTATACTAGAAACTTGTTCACTTTTTTTATTATGCACATACAATAAATAGGAAATAAAGTTAAATTTATAACCCGAAACGCCATCTGGTGGTCAATTTTCGTAGATTTAATTCGCTTCGCCTTCGCCATGTTTTCCACTTTGGCAACTGTCAAACAATTGCACGCTCTGTCATTAGTAAAGCATCGGCAAAACCAAAACGTTTAATATTCACAAATTCATTTTCTTTATTTAGTCATAAAAAACCATTGCAATTTGGTTGTTCCAGTCGATCATTCGCTTTATTTGGTTCAAAAGTCGTGTTAAACAGTAAAATGGCTGATGTTTTGGATATCGATAATGCTGAGGAGTTTGAAGTCGACGAAGATGGTGATCAAGGTATTGTTCGATTGAAGGAAAAGGCTCGCAAGCGTAAGGGTCGTGGTTTTGGCAACGAAAGCAATGTTCGTGAACCCATCCAGCACTATGAACGTGTACGACATGACGACGATGATGAATTTGAACCGGGACCACAGCGTTCAGTTGAAGGTTGGATTTTGTTTGTTACAAACATTCATGAAGAGGCACAAGAAGACGATATTCAAGAGAAATTCTGCGAATACGGTGACATCAAAAACATTCACTTGAATTTGGACCGACGTACCGGTTTCCTCAAAGGTTACGCTTTGGTTGAATACGAAACATACAAACAGGCACAGGCAGCACGTGAAGCATTGAACGGTGGTTTGATTTTGGGCCAAGCGATTTCAGTGGACTGGTGTTTCGTCAAAGGACCGAAGAAAACCAAAAAGGCCGAAAGACGCCGAAGATAAATACGATTATCAATTTTGCAAATTCCCATTATTTTATCCGCAATTTTGATAATTTGACACTTGGCCCACTCATAACAAATACAATTTTGTATTCGCAAAGTACTAAAATAACTAAATAAACTCTTGTATTTCAAAACTAAATTTTTCGTGTTTTTATTGACATTTTTCAGGTTATAATATCGATTTTATTTTTCATAAACAATATTCGTGAATTGACTTTTGACAGCCGAACAGAGTACCTAATTCATTAGTTGGCGTTAATTCTCTTCGTGTTCTTTTACATATTGTCAAATTTACTACATGTTTTTTTGCTTTATCAAATGATTTCATTCTCTCGAACATATTGTTATTCTAAACGGGCAATAATGTTCGTGATCTATGATCGGAAATTGTTTACACTCTCAAAAATAATACATAAAATAAGACGAAATTGTAAAAAAAAATATAAGTCTGGCTTAGACTGTGACGCCGATAGTGGGCTTTGTACCAAGTATATCAGAGAGCTTCTGTTGATATTTTGCTAGTGTGTTCGAATCGGTGATGCCTTTTGCCTTGCAAGACATTTGCAATGCATTCAAGTATTGCATCTCCGTGAATTGGGCACCCTTTTCAATTATATTCGCCAAGATTTCCTGCAAAAAAACAAATTGAGATTTTTTATTTATGACAAGAAATTGTAATCATCCATTCAATGAACAACGATTATGCTATAAAACGTATGTAAACCAACCTCTGGATCCATGTAAAGCATCTCGTAAAAGTTTCTTGCATTATCTAAGGCAACTTCGCGTGTCGCTGTGATACTGCTCAAGGTTTGTTGCAATGCGATTGCATTCCGGCACATTCGCTGTACGCTGGCTTGATCGACTGTTTCCATGCAATTTGATGCCATAATCAGGATTCGCGCTGCCAAATGAGCTAAGCCTTCAAAAATGTACTGAAAATTGAAAATTCATTGGAATATTATCAATCATTTTGATTTATGGTTATTTATGAATTCGAAAACCGAAAATGGCATTTTTGTATAATTCCAAGACTGTTTATTGAAAAGAACTACCTTTGTCTTCCGTGGATGTAGAGTTGAGTTCAACGCTTCGTCCATATCCGATAGAACTTTTGTAAGTTTCAACACTTTGCTATCCGGTTCAAGTGAATCGTTGGCCATTTTACTGTACTTGGTGTTCTTTTCGTTGCTCTTCAAATAGTGGAAACATTGTACTCGCACTTCTAAATGTAACACCAACAAACATGTATTGGCCAAATCATCGAATTCCAACGCCAAGTTGGTTAGCACCTTTATTGTTCCGTCTTTGATCGTTACCGGAGAATCAATGTCATTGTTTGACTCTGAACATACCCGGTTTGAAAGTGGTTTACGTAAATCGTTGGCAAATTCAGTGATTCGGTGCGAAAACCATTCCTAAAATTCAAATCATATTTTAGTTGAAAATAATACGAATTCGTCAATATCACATACCATACTCTCTTGAAGAATGGCCAATTCTTTCAAAACACCAATATCGGAGAGAATTTCCTGATGTGAAATGAAACTCTCGCCCAAATTGCTTGTCAACATTTCTGCTTCGCGAATGTTTCTCTGCTGAACTTGGGTTGGACTTTCTTCCTCTGAAGTCATATACAAATTGGTTGCCTTTATCAACTTCTTGTCAGCGGCCGACATCACTTTAGATCGTGAGGATTTTAAATCAGTCCAGTTTGGTAGAGTTCTATGGAGAAAAGTCAAATAAATGATGAAAAACAATTTCTGTCTTTTGCGACATTAGCTAAGTACTCACTTCAAAAAGCGTGAAATATCGTCGTCTTTCAGCCAAGCAACGCTATAAATTCGCTTGTCTTCGGTTTCCGGTTGAACGATCCCTCGGTATGCTGCCTGGCACGTTTCTCGGTATGTTTTGAGCAAAGAGCACACCATTTTTAACAAGTCATCGGAATAATTCGGCAAATCTTGGATGAGGCTCTTTGTTTCCGTAATTTCTTTTACAAAAAAATAGAAAAAGTCAGACATTCATTCCCAGAAATAGTCAGCATAAAATTATGTTTAAAGCCAAGTAATTGAGTGTTCATGCTAACTTTGTTCAACTAAAACGGTGCTTTGCAACAATGGTCTATTGAGGCCCATGCTCTTCATCTCTTCCGGCGAGATAATTGCTCGCCACGCATCGTGATTCTTGGCCAACGATTCAATTGTTAGTTGTAAATTACGATTGTGGCCCTTTGCCAGGAAAATTTCCCTGATTTGAGTGTTCAAAAATTCATTAAATGCATTCGATTGACTGGGTTTCGATTTAATCATCTCTTCAATTTCATGCGTGTAGCTCAACAATGGCAAATAGATTTTGCGAATTAAGGCTGGATCTGGTTGACACACCAATGATTTGGTGCCTTTGTTCTTGTCTTCGTTCATTGCATTCAACAGTTCATCATTTGACATGTCGGAAGCGTTGCGTCGATGTTCTTTCGGTCCATCGTGCATCATTTGCGCGGTTTTGTCAAACTTGAATAAAGTTTTTCGGCTGAAAAATCGAAAAAAAAAAATCCACAATAAAATTGATACCCCATAAAATGAATTAAATCTGATGGCTTAACTTACGAATTAATTTTACGACGATTGAAATACGTGTTAATGTTATTTGTTTGGTCGGCAAAAGTGGAATTTGATCGATCATCGCTAGTTACATTTTGAATGTCCAAATAATCGGTCAAAAGTAATTGAAGCTGGATAGAAGAAAAAAATGGTTTAATAAAACTGAATGATTTGCCCGTTTCAGTTGACTTCAATTGAATTCATCAACAACCGAGAAAAAATTCATAGAACTTACGACTGCTTGAGCTTGACCCCAATAATCGGCAATATCGTACGGCTTAACAACGATGCCATGCCGTTGTGTTACATTTAGATAGTTCTTCAACAGTAATGTATGAGCATTTGCGACTAATTTGAATTGCTTATGAACCAAACTGAGTAATTCGAGCAATGGATGTGTTTGGTCATCCATTGGCTGTTGATTTAGGCTTCCTTCTGCTGCGAAAATCGAAACTAGATGTTGTGTTGTTCGAGTAACAATGGCCAGTAGCTCTGATTGAATTTGAGTTCGAAGAGCATCCAATGAATCGGGTATTTTCTTCAACAAAGCAAAACATTCGACAATAATGCCAATGAAGTAGCTCCGGCTTAGATCCGTATCAAGGAGCTCTGAATTATCAATGACTTCGGTTTTTTCGACATCAAAACCTTGAGCCATTTCAAACAGTGCCTTACGAATTTTGGCATTTGCTTCGGCCCGTTCAGTCGAGCGTCGCATAACATTGCGTTGAAACGGTGACACCAGATTATTATCACTTCTTCTCGTGGACGAAGCCCGTCGTTGGAAATTCGACAATGCGTCGGCCGTTGACAATTGGTACAAATGCCGATTCAACTCGTCAATCATTTTTAAATACAGTTGGTTCTTGCGATTATCTAAATCTTGACGCAAGTCACTCAATCCTTCCACATCCCGTAATCGGCCATTGCTCAAGTCAATCGCCTTGACAAGCACCTGCGTTGCATGCAAATAATGACGTTTGTTTGTGTACGATTGCACTTTTGAAGGCACCTTACGTAATTCATCACTTGAAATAGAAAATACACACAAAGAGTAAAAACACAGAGTTTCTCGCCCAATATCATAATGTTTAACTCACATTTGCTCCAACATCTCCAAAGAGTACTTCTGTTGCATAGCATCTTTGTACAATTTTTGGATTTCGTCGCGGCGGCATCGCAGCAGCTGCTTGCAAGCCATCAAATTCTCTTTGACTGTGTGGATTTTGGTGCGTGATGTTGTTATCATCGTTGATACCTGCCCGAATAGCTGCATCACTTGCGACAAATCACCATCATGCTTTGCGACCAAGTCATTCAGACGATTGTCGGTGTTTTTAAACTCTTTCTCGATTTTGAGCTTCTCGCGTTGACGCTCTTCATTTGTTTCACTTGCGTCCAATTTTTTGATAACAGTAACCAACAAGCCGCTTCCACTCTAGAACACAAAAATATTGAATATCTTTAATAGAGATTCAATTTGAACTCATTCAAATTTGGTTAATTGTAAATGATAGTGGTTTATTTGATGAAAAACCTCCCATTTTTCTCCACTATCACTAAATAGCACAATCACAATGCACCTGATTCAATGCGGTTTGGACTTTGTTTTCAGTAGATTGTTCACTCAACTCACCGTTTCTTTGCCGTATTTCAAGCCTCGTGGAGGCTTTCTTGGTGCTGGCGGCGAAGACATTTCTTACCAAAATCCACCTCCCTTCAAACACTACGATTATTATTTAGTCGAATCCAGAAAAACAAGTACCAATTTCTCTATGTTTTTTTCTGCTTGGTCTATTGCAATTGCTTTGACATTTCACCGAAAATTGACGTCATCTGTAGATGCTCCGTTCATATGGGCAAAGAATGTTTCGTATTTTGACAGATGTATGGCGCTGTTTGTACAACGCGGTTCAAAGGTGCACAGTAACAGTTGATGTTGATTTCATCGATTTGGACTCTCTTCTTTTGTTTCTCACATCGAAAGAGGAAAAAGAGAGAAAAAACAACAAATAATTAATACCAACTATTCAAAATACTTGAAGTTGATAAATATTTTTAGACAAAATTCTAGGAGAATGAACTTGTTTCTTCATCTTAATGAAAAATTTATGCGATAATCTTCATTATATCAATCGATACATCACTTGAAAAAATTCCAATACGATTCATCTAAGTCATTTGGTACGCAATTTAATAACTGACGTCAACTTTGTTTCAAAGATTTATTATTTATTATCATCACCAATTTTTCCATATAAATAAAACTGCTCTCATGCAAAGTGCCAGTGCTTCAGTAACTGTGTTCAAGGTGTTAGCATCAAGTTCAGAACCTAAAGCATATTGAAATCTTGGATGAAATAATAATTCAAAAGAAAACCTTCAATTTGTTTCTTCAAAAAAAAGAAGTTTACACAACAACCATGTTACCATCACAAGAATTTGGAGCGAATTTTTACTTGGTTTTGCATTTGACCGATCAATGAAAATACGCCTGGATTGGTAGAAGATTACCGTGTCTGGTTCACAACAGCACATTACATTTTTTTTAAGGCGCAACACTTTGTGCGTCAATGATTTACTTTTTAAAATATATGTCAATCGATTTGGTTGATGCTTCATATGTTTTTTGTCAAGCTGTTGGTCTCGCAAATGGATTTTATTGCATAACAGTCGGAATTCTAACACGAGACAAAATAAAAAGACTCTTCGCTAACTATCAAGCATTTAACGCAGCAAGTGAATATTTTTTTTGATTTTATTTGAATTTAAACGAGTGCAATAATTTTATAGATGAACACAACAAATCGTTCGTGCATGTGATTCAAGCAAACGAATTTGGAAATTGGATAATGAGATGTTATATGAAATTTGCTGTTTTGGGATGTATTTCGTTCAGTTTAATCGTGGATAGATACGTAAACGAGAAATTTTACATTCATCCAGCTCAATACAGGTGAAACAATACAAAGATATTTTTTTCTAAAAATATGGTATGAAATCAATAAAAATCCAATTCTTTTCAAGCTTACCCTGGGATTACACAACACTGATTGGATGGATAAGATAAGTAACGTGATGATAACGATGGTTGCTTGTGCGTTTTATTATACCGCATTTGGCAAGATTCTTCTCTTTTTTGTTGGCATATGTCAACACAATCAGGCATTTTTCTTCCAAGTTGGAGATAAGCTGACCGATTTAGATGCACTCGTTGGTGATATTCGTGCTAGTGAGTCAAACATTAAGAAGGCATTATGCGAATTTTATACAACCATTAATACATACAACCAGTAATTATTACAACGCTGATCTGATAATTATCATTAGTGTTCCTCCTTTCACAAAATGTTTGACTCACTTTTTTCCATCTTCAGATTATTTGTACCAACAACAGAAGTGACCAGCATTTTTATTCTCATGCAAATAATAACATCAAAAAATTTTCTTGTCGTGCTGTATTTTCCAAATGGATATGATTAGTGGATTTTACATTTGTCTTATAAAAAAAATTTTACGACATGTGTTGTGATTCACAGACGCTGGGTAACTTTGATTACAGTATGTTGTTGTTGGTGCTTTGCTCAGTATTTTCGATTTGTATATTGAATATGTTTTGCTACTGCTACTTTGGTGGACGTTCAACGGAAAAATTCATGGACATGGCAGACACAGTGTTTGAATCGAAATGAAATGAGCTTCAAATCAATTTACGAAAGTTTATCTTTCTAACGATTCTAATTGCTCAAAATCCCATTCACTACCATGGATTTTATATTATTGGTTTGAATTTGACAATATTCACGCAAGTGAGTTTATTTTAAGATTTTTCAAATCAAAATTCTAACGAATTGGAATAGTTTAGGCTTTCAAAACGGTCATCAGTTTTTATATGATGTTTAAGCGATTGGCAATGAAATGAATCACGACTTTTCTTACTTGGATATTTTTCGCTGATTTACTCTCAGTCATACTTATCAACTTTTTTTTGCATATTTCAGACGATTCTTTTCATTTATTTAATCTTAATCTAAAACCACTTTTCATGTGATCAATGGCACTAAAAAGTAACGACTAATTTTATATTTCATTGAAAAAGTGAGTGTGCAATTGTTAGAAAGTTAGAAAAACTTTTTAAAGTTTTAAACAAATATTGAAATATAATTCAACGTTGAAGTAGATTTCGTTGTTCCCCAAGAAGTCTCGGAATAATTCACAGAACGATTTCTTAAAAAATATGTTAGCCAACACATATTTCAAGATGCACCGTCTGGTAATCTGAATTTGTGTTTTGCTGTTAAAAGATAAAAAAAAAAGTCGTAATTCGCTTGTACATGAGGGATTTTCAACTCGAAAAACATATGTTCCATGCGGAAAATATGCACTTAAATTCATTGTATGTAATGGTTATACTACTATGTATTTCGTGGCGATATAAAAATTGGTCGGATGAATTCGAGAAATATAGCCAATTTGAATCGCTTCGAAATGACGTCGAAATGTGCAAATAGCCCGTTTTGCGCTCGCTTTCAGCACGAGATCTGACTTTCACCTTATTTGTTATTTTAATAGCTTACCTTAAATTTACTGCAGTGTAAGAAACTTACTCTGCATGCGTCAGTTTTGCGTATGCTAGAAATGAAAAAAAAATGGATAAAACAGTTCGACTTGACACGAGTTTTTAATTCTCAAAGTGACACATATGACATTTCAATATTAAGTTTATTTTATACACCGTTACATGTTCATTGTGAATTCTAGCAACATTGATTGATTTAACCTTTCTATAAATGAATCGTCTCCATTTTTGTATGTTTCATAGATTTCATACGAACCATCAGGAATTTCGTTTGTAGCATGTGATTACAACAACGATATGTTTCTTTTTCGCAAGTTCCTTTTTTTACACAAATTTTTATGTTTTGCTCTCATTCTCAACGGTTCATATTTCCATAAATCGAGAGCGAGTTTCGGTTGTACGGTCGATGTCATCTCTTAGCCCAGCTTTATATTCAACTGATATTGGTTGAAGTTTTAGAACACTTGCTCTAACATAGCCCGACTTTGAAATAAAGCATAATAGTTCAACAAAGTAATCGAGCAGCTATTGCAAAACATCAACTTGTATTGGAGTGTATACTCGTGGCTTAGAGATGCAGCTGCGCATCCTTGGTTGAAATCCAAGAAAATTCAGTACGTCACAGATATTTTTGGCAACTGCACACATTGGCCACATATTATTCAGATTCTGCTGCAGTATAAAAAAAAGGTTTGCCATGAGCTTACTACATGTTAGAGACACACTGTCGTAAAACCTCCATATATATGTAGTAAAGTGTAAAATCGCACAGAAACATCGCCAATTTACTGAATTTACTTTCTGTGCGCGGGTTGCTTATTACCCTAGAGAACATAAATCCATTGTTACAAAATTGGAGTGTGGTAGTTCAAGTCGATTGATTGCTCCTATGAGCGTTTCATGAAAATTTGCCCAGTTGGATGAAAACAAAAAAAAAACGCATAGAATATGAAACAGACTTTTAAAAAACACATACACCAACATGACTAAGAACATACATGCTATTTTCTGCCGTAGCCGTAATCTAAAATGATATTTCATGTACATGTTTGTACAAGTATTTTACGCTTAAATTTTTAGCTTAGTCTATGTTTTTCTTTCGTGTTGCTTTGCTTTACGGTTTTTCTGATGCGTTCTGTGATGATTTTGTTTTGAATTTATTGGCAGTTCCGTTGAATTAAATGAATCCAAAGCTCATGCGATCGATTCATTCGTCACACAGAAGAAACGGCGTTACTACTATCGTAAGCAGCCAGCGACACATCATTCTCGAATATAGATTTATTGCTAGAGCAGTATTCCTCGTCGTCATTTTCGGATTCAAATTCATTGACGTGGATGATAATGTGCTTATCCTTCGCATTGTCCGTGGATAAGTTTGTTGTTGCATTTTCAACGTTGATGGTGCTTGTGTCCGGAAACAAGTAAGTTGTTGTTGCTGTTGATGGGCCGGCTGATATTTCATTTTCTTCTTCGATTGGCATTGATCTTGACACCGCATGATAATAGTACTTTTTCCGTTCTGAACGGTTACGAAAAACGTTGTCATTGCCATCATTTCTATCTAATTGTGTTACAACGTTGCCACCGAGCCACCCACTGCCCTTTTGACATTTCGATGAATAGTGCAAGACACTTTCGCAATCACCTTTGCCTACGATTTTTTCATCGTATTTGTCGTCCTCTTCACTGTTTGCGGTTTGATCACTACTCTCATCCATGCCATAGTAAAAGTGCTCGGAAATCGTTGTCTGCGAACTACGTCGTCGAAATCCACAGAAAATGTGTTCGTTTGAATGATGATTTGATAAATCGTTTGACTCCTCCATAGAGTCTCTTTGATATCAAAGCTCGATCACATCCGAACCTTTCCATGTAACGCCAGCCCGAACACTATGATAGAAGCGTAACACACCCCAAACCGCAATCGCCTACATAGTAAAAACGAAGGAAAGAAAGATAGGCAATTAGAGAGAAGAGCCAAATAGAATTTAACCAACAAAACAACAGAGAAAACAGCAATTACTTTAAGTGAACGCTACAATTACGAATGGATAGTAATTTGCGCAACTCTTTCATTATTCCCAGTAGAATTATATTTAATTGCGAAGCTAGTCTTGAGAATCGTTATTAGAATATAGGGTTTGAACGATATTTTTGCATACAAAATAAGCGCAAAATTTACACGATTCAGGCGTCATTGCTACAATAAATTGTTGGCATAAAACTTGAAACAGAAGCATAAACAAAATTTACATCATAATTACGTAGCAAGATTGATCTTTTTTTCCTGCTTTTTCTTATGCTTTTCCTCTCTGACAGGAAATCCAACAGTAATCTATCAAACTTTATTCTCTTCAGATGTAAAAAAAAAGCATCAATTCAAACACTTAATCGGAGTGAGAGAGAAATGAACGTGCTCGTCGTACTCTTCATTAAGATTCTGTGTGAAACATCTGCTACAATAGAATTTTGAATTCTGTATACCGCTTGGTAAATTATGTTGGTGTTGGTGCTAATAATCGTGCCGAAAAGTGGATGTAGAAATTTAAATGATGCTTGTGCCCACCCTTTCATTAAATTTAAAGTGCTTTCCTGCTCATACTCACACTTATCGCCCATGCTTGATGTAAACCTTCTTTAAATGCTTCAATCAAACACGCTGAATTGGCACAAGCCACCTAATTTATTTTCCCATTTCTACATAATTCATTTGTTTATTTAGTTTGCAATGTTATTTTGCTGCTTTAGCTTCAGAAGTTTGTATGGAGAACCAAAACATTCGGCTGTTGCCCTGTTCACCCGACTTTTATTGGACTGTGATACCCAGACTATATAAAAAAATAGCAGGTGTTACGTCACAAGATAAATATTACAATTTTTTTTTCTCGAAACGCTTTCCACATTTAATATCGCTGTGGCTGTGACTGTGGCTGTGATAGCAATGGAATATACAACATTTACGTTCAATCTTGCTTCTCCATCAGCGTCAGGATGCGAGTTTCTGTTGATTTTAATTTTATTACAATGTTGAACGACTAAAAAATAGACCCCAGTACCTCAGTCCCCGTATCGTGGTACACGCTTTAGAACGCATTAAAAAAAATCGGTGTTTTGAATACATTTTCCTCTCCTCCTTCCAAAATCGTCCAAACATGAATTGGTGCGATTTCCGTAAGCCATTGCGAATTTAACGCAGATGAAATGAACACCCACAGGTAGAAAATTACATGATACTTCACCAAACATGAATGTATTGTATTGTAGTTGGTCAGGATTTTGAACATTCCATTTTTTTCAACTATTGGAGAAAAATGCTAAAAATCATGCCTCATGATATTTTTATTCAGAAAAAAACTGGTCATCAATTCAACCAAGAGTAGGATGACGGTACGACTTTTAGAAGACAGAAGAACTGTATTGCTCATTCCATGCATGGCAGAATGAAAAATGTATGAAACGATAAAAATGGGTTTGCACATATATACAGGGTGTTTCACGATTTCTCGCCACACATCCCTCAGCCAGATGTAAGGCCAGTGGAGTAAAATAGTCAATGGTCGATGCTTCAGGGAAAATTGTCCATTTACTTCTTCTTCCTTTTGAGAGATTTGCATGGTGTTCGCTGACACTGTAGCATAGTAGTGTTAACTAAACACCGTGTATAGGGAAAATATTTCAAATTTTGCAACGTTGAAGCAATTAAGACCGTGAGTTGAGAGTTTGGAAGACAATTCAAGTATTTGAGATTCTTTCGTCGCAAGCTCAGCGAGTGTTCAGTACATATATGAAATAAATTGCATTTTGTTGTTTTTTTTTTACGGTGTTTGTAAACAGCATGTTACATTACATTACAAGCAAATGTAAGCACCCGTGAGATGACAATGGAACCTTGGTAAATGTGGAAACTTCACGGAATCTTACTTGTTAAGACGGTTGGGCTCTAAATAAACGAACAAGTAGGTATCAAGATGTGGCAAACAGTAATACATATACAAAAAGCAGATTAGATTACTGTGTGAAATCTATTGTAAAGAATTCAACGAAAGAAAGATGAAACGTGGCAGTGCTCTCATTGTTTGAAGCACCCTTTTGTTTTATACTGCGTCTATCAATTGCCCATTTAATTTATAGACTCCATCTCGGCGTCGAAAGCACAGAATATATACGCCAGTCACACTTCGTCTCCCTCCTAATACATCCATACGAACGCCGAACTTAACCGCGTGAATGAGCAACAAAACAGATTGAGTTTGTATAACACTAAATACACCCATTCCGAGCGAGCTATGGCTTGAACAAATACATTTTTTTCTTTGTAAAATACTTGTAATGGCAACGCATTTTATGAATGTGCCCTGCCTGCTTTATTCATGACGAACATTTGGAGTAAAAAAATGCTAACAATTTTAACTAGGAACTTTGTCAACTTGTCACTTACATTAATAAAAGCTCTTGTAATGAAAAGTGCCACTTCCGCTTTGCAAATTGCGTCAAATTGCTGAAACAGAGAAAAAGAATACACATCAAAAATTATAGAGAAATAAATGGGATTTGTTATCATCTTTATGACTAATAATGTGGATAATTTTAATACAGTTGAGCCTCAGAAAAAAGCAACAAAATCTCCTTCGCTTCAATTCTACTTCCTTGAAATAGCAACTGTTGGCTTGAATTTTAAAAAGTGTCTCTAGCCATATTTGTTGATCCAAACTGTACACTATGTATACTATGTATCACCAAAATTTTCGCTCCGTTCTGTTAAAGACGCCCACGCCTTTTCACTGGAATGTGGAACCCAATCTGGTGATGTTAACAAAAATCGATTGGTTATAGATTATGATGTAAACAGATCATCAATCACAGAAATCAAAAAAATTGATAAGCAATTTTAGAGCTAGTGTCGAGCATTCTCGAAGGATCCACAAGAAAAATCACTTCATAAACCAGATTATACTGAACCGGTGAAAAAGTTGTATGATTGGTTTCTGAATCAACAGCTAGATGGATGAGCCATGGACGCACAACTATGCAATATCGATTCAATTTGCATAACGTTATCCGATTTTCGTCAGTAAATATTGCTTTGCACACACGAATAAGAATATAGATTTCCGATTGGCTGGTTTTTCCTTTGAACTATTGTATATAGAATCAGATGTTCTATATTTTTACACAGTAGAATTCGAAGAAAAATTACTTGATTTCTGGATACTGAAGTATTATAATTAATTCACTTCTATTCTGCTAGCATTGATGGGAACCCATATTGGAGCTTTCACAATGCACACGCTTAGATGTCGAATGAAGAGATTCAACGTTGCCTTGGGTACTTTACACATCGTAGCCGTCTTAGACATTAAATATGTTCTACACTTCAATAGAAAGTTCATTGTTTTTGTTTTTGTATGGGACATACAAACAGTCAATGACAGATAGCTGAGGATATATGCTGAGCATAGAGACTTCTCAATTCCTTGCATCTGTACATTTATTTATATATAATATATAATATATTTTTGCAGGGTTATCCAATTTGTGCTTCGGAAATAAAAGCTAAATAAAATTCACTACAAATTTAGATTACGACAATACTCAATGAAGCAGCGGACTTGTCGGCACACTCGTGGATTTAGCATTTCACTTGCTTTGGCGATTCGTGAGTTGCCGAAGCATCATATATGCAGTGCACTCGATATTTAACGTGAAATCCTATATTCGGTACATCGAAGTTGGC